ACGCGTTGGATCAGTTAGTTGAGCAGTTATAGGGAGTACCGGTGATCTGGGAAGTAAGTACTATGTGCAAATGGGGAAAGTATGTACCTAAATGGGGAAAGGAGATTTACAGTAGGATGGATGATGTGGAAGCCAACCGACAGGCAGTCGAGCGGAGCCATAGGAGCAGATGTGGGAGCCAACTGGGTCAGGGCAGATGGAGCGGAGGTGGTAGGAGAGCAGGGGAAGTAGGATGTCAGGCGGAGTGGATATTAATATTGATGGAGCGGTCAGATCAGGTATATGACACCCTGCTCCAAATTTGGGGCACGTACTCAGCTAAGGGCGCAGCGCAAGAGCTGAAGCCAAGCCTCAACCCCTCTGCTTCTCCATCAAAGCACGGTCTCTAACAATCTCCAACATCAGATACTGTCCTCCACCCATGACTCAATCAAGGGATGAGGCACATGTCAGTCCATTATAAGTCCCCTTTGTATATTCCTCTTTCTGTCTAGTCTTGGTACCTTGTATGATCCAACTCTCCATTCTAATTAAGCCTATTATTGTTAAGGTCATGCTCAAGGGGAAGACAACTCAAAGGGTTTCGGCTTCAGCTCATACGCTGCGCCCCTTACCCGAGTACGTGCCCTTGATTTCTGAGGGGCAGAGAGGAAGTCCGGAGGTCAGACATTGGGGGAGTTCAGTGGAACTCCGGAAGACTATGAGAGAACAGAGTAAGGCTACTATGGACAAGTCTGGAGTAGAAGCAGAATAGAGTGTAGACTACCCTAAGGTAGAGCTGGAGATTTAGTCCTAAGGTTTAACCCCTAAGACTCGGAGGTAGACAAGAGATCAGACTCAAGTCTGGAGAAGCAGGAATGAGCAGAACTAAGATGATATTTGAACTAAGGAGTTCCGGTGTATTTCAGGAGTTTATATACTGTGGGTATCATGTAAGTAAATCAGTCAGACAAGTAAGGGCTATGTACGAAGCATGTGGAATGTCTATTAGTAAGTGTATAACAGATCAAAGCAGTGAAGTTGGAGATGAAGTACAAATGGACAGATCAGTAAGCAAAGCGGAAAGGACATAACCAGTAGCCAGAACAATAGCTATTCTAAAAGGAGCTAGGGGTGAGTATGGAGATGAAGGCGGAGCGCTGGATGGAGGAGGATGAGAGAAGCAGACTTTCATAGGGGAGATCTGGAATTCTGGATCCGGAGGTATGGGAAATAGTGTTGGAGAAAATAGGGGTAGTGTCGGAGGAGTGGAATAGAGTTGGGTGGAGGTAGCAGGGCTAGTCCTGCTGAGATGCACTTTGTGCATTGTCAGAGAAGGAGATGGAGTGGACAGGGAAACAGGGGGTCAGACTAGTGGTAGGGATGTTCACAGATGGTATTGGAGGTGCTTGGATCCGGTATATGACAATTATATAGAATGGTTTGTTGTACCTTTATTATTACTTTGCACTCTGCTATGCTGTGTCACATAGCTAGGTTTTCCTATAGTATATAAACCTGTTAGGTACTGTGCTGACTCAGGAAGCAGAGGGGTTGGGGCTTGGCTTCAGCTCTTGCGCTGCACCCTTAGCCGAGTACGTGCCCCAAATTTGGAGCGGGTCCGATGTTGTCCGATGGTAGGACAAATGGTCCTGCTTTGGTCCGCTTTGAGGGTCGGGGAATAAGAGCTACTAGCGGCGGGCCGACTAGGAGTGGAGCGGAGAAGGTGGGGAGTGATGCGGAGAGTGGATAGGAGCAGGGGAATGTTGATAGGGGCGGGGAAGGCGGAAGATAGTGTGGAGGGACAAGGAAGAATATTTGATAGGGGCAGAGTAAAGGGGGAAGACTTAGAGCACGGCTCTAAGTCAGAGCGGAGGGTCAGAGGGTCGGAGATGACAACAAGTTGAGACTTGTGTCCAGAGGAGGCAAGGTCCTACTGAGAATTCCCACAAGATGTAACTGAGAGAAGACAAGTAATATTAAGACTGAGGAAAATATCTAAGTACAGGATATGTTATATACTTCTATGTATGAGGCAGTGATCAGGATAACTATGTAGTAAAGCTATGTACCGAGGATATAGTTTGTAAGTATTTTACATAGGCGAAGACATAAGTCGGAGCGGATATCAGCATGTACACATCAGATCAGTGATCAAGCGGTAATAGGAATTACTGGTTATCCAGAAGTAAGGGTCTATGTACTAAAGGAGGAAGTATATATCTAAAAGGGGAAAGAGGTCCAGTTGAATGGAGAGGTTTATGGAAGGGGACTGGTTGAGCGGTTGAGCGGAAGTGTAGGGGCAGAATGTGGACTTGTGGTTGGATGGGGCGGAGGATGGATGGAGCAGAGGGGGTTGGAAAGTGAAGTGGATATCAATATTGGAGCGGTCGGATCAGGTATATGACACTTACCTCTGTTGGAGCATGTTGAAGTGGACCTTTGGTGAGCCTCCTATGTGTCCTTAGGGGTTAAGGGCACTGTACTCGCATAAGGAGTGCAGTGCATAAGCTGAAGCTAAGCCCTTCTGTAACTGTCATATACCAGATCCGACCGCTCCAACATTATTGATATTCACTCCACCTGACTGTGTACTATCCTGCTTTCCTCTTGCTTCCGCTCCGCCTGCCTCTGCCCAACCCAGTTGGTCCCTGCATCCACTCCTGCGCTTCCGCTTGACCACCTCATTGGTTACCTCCTCATGTAGGTTCCATTCAACTGGATCCTCTTTTTTCATTTAGGTACATACATCCCCTTTCAGTATATAGCTCTTACCTCTCAGATCACTAGTTATTCCTATAGCCATCCAATTACTGATCCATCTCGTACATATTGATATTTACTCTGACCTGTATGTTTTCCTCAGTAATCCTACTTACATATTGTACACTCAGCATATAGCCTTGTGCTATGTATTACTGATCACTGCCTCCTTACTGTTAAGGTTGTGCTCAAGGGGGAGGTTACTCAAAGGGCTTCGGCTTCAGCTCATGTGCTGCGCCCCTTACCTGAGTATGTGCCCTTAATTTCCAGTGGGCAGAGGGGAAGTCCTGATGGAAGTCCTGGGGAGTTCCGGAGGACAAACATTGGTGGAGTTCGGCAGAACTCTGGAAGGCTAGGAATGAACAGAGTAAGGCTACTACAGAAATCCGGAGTAGAAACAGAATAGAGGTTAGACTACTCTAAGGTAGAGCCGGAGGATTAGTCCTAAGGTTTAACCCCTAAGACTCGGAGGTGGACAAGAGGTGAGACTCAAGTCCGGAGATTGCAGGAATGAGCAGAACTAAGATGATATTCAAACTAAGGAGTTCCGGAGTATTACAGGGGTTTATATACTGTAGGTATCATGTAAATAAATCAGTCAGCAAAGGTAAGGGCTATGTACAAAGCATGTGGAAAGTCTATTACTAAGTGTAACGGATCAAAGCAGTGAAGTCAGAAATGAAGTAAGAATGGACAGATCAGTAAGCATAGTGGAATAGGACATAACCGGTAACCAGAGCAATAGCTAATCTAAAAGGAGTTAGGGGTGAGTGCAGAGATGAAGGTGGAGCGCCGGGCAGAATAGCAGGACAGAGGACCGGACTTTAATGAAGTAGATCCGGAATTCTGGATCCGAAGGTACAGGATATGACACTTACCTAGAGTATATAACATATCCTGTACTTAGCTTGTAGGTTTCCTCAGTCTTAATATTACTTGTCTTCCACCAGTTTCTACTGTGGGAATTCTCCATAGGACTGGCTTAACTCCAGACACAAGTTTCGTCTGGTTGTTGCTTCTACTCCTCCGCTTTGACTTAGAGCCGTGCTTTAAGTCATTACCTCTTGTCCCCCTTCATCCAATATACCATACCTTCAATCCCCTTTGATCCCTTCTGCCTCCAACCTACTTCCTCTGCTCCATCTGCCTCCTTACTAGTCAGACCACCACTAGAAGCCTTTACTTCCCTGACCCTCAAGCAGACAAAAGCGGTCCCCTCATCCTATTATTGGACAACATCATTCCCACTCCAAATTTGGGGTACATACTTGACTAAGGGCATAGCACAAGAGTTGAAGCCAAGCCCTGACCCCTCCACTTCTCCATCTGAGCATGGTACCTAACAGTCACCCTCTTCTCACCCATTAGACATGGTTCTGACACAGAGCTGAATGGACTGGCATGCTTTGGGACACAAAAAGGCTTATGGGGTGCACAATGAATAGGCTTTCCTGCAGTTCCATAGTATTGTCTGATTATATCAGGATGGACTCCTTTACAATTATTGGCATATAGTCTATGCTCAAGCTGGCCCATAAGCCTCATATCCTAATGAATACAAAAGCAAAATCCCTTTATTTAGCTGGCTGTGTCTGAGTTATTAGATGACATACATCTGGGCTCTGATCATGTCCCTCTCCAGAGATAGGGTGTACATTCCATTCAGCTTGAAGTGTGTGACAGTCAGACTTGATCTGCTCGAGGAACAGCTCATGTAATAACCAAAGATGCTAGGCATTAGACACATCAAGTCCATGAAGCCTCTCAAGCCAATAGAAAAATTCACACCACATGCAAGCAAATTGAGTGCCAACCTCAACCAAGGATTATTCAATCCTACTGTTGTGAGTTGATCTAGTGAGCAGTACATTTTAACACAACTAATGTAAGCAATGAAAGTGTGTTTACTTATGATCCCCACATAAAGCTTACACAGTTGGGCCCTCTAGTCATGATCATATAAACTGATACCTTCTCATTTTCTCCACCTCTATCCCCTCACACTCTTGAAGGTGTACCATAGATAGCAACTGTATTCAAAAACACCTTAAGCATCAGGGATGCATTATTGCTTGTGCTAGGATGAATGGCAACCATCTAAAAGACAATACATATAAGATATGAGTGGCTAGTGAAGAATAATAGCATACTGTGTGACAATACCCATCAATGATACCATGAATTATGATGCCTCAATGAATTAGCTTATGGTGACTGCCTATGTGCCACAGAGAATTTGACTGTGAAACCTTGTACTGTCACTGTTGAATTATAGTGTATTGGCAGAGGACAGTTCCCAATGGATCAACATGGTGGATAGAGGTAATAATCTGTTGTGGCTGTACCTGCAAGCCCAGCTGTCGCAGATGACCAGCAAGATAGTGAACTCCAGAATTTGGTTTCATCTGATGAAATTCTTGAACAGCATGATCTAGGTCAGCGTCCAAGATTCAGCTATACTTGTAGCTAACATTGTTCTACTTAAAGTAGGAGTGCAAATTATTACAATGGATGCCCATGACTCATACAACAACTGAATATTTGGCACTTTATGTGATCTCCCTGGTTTTCCAGTGTGTTCAATAGTGATTGGCTATGGAACTGAAATATTTGATGTTTCACAGGTGATGGAATAGATATTAGAACTACTGCAGTGAATATAGTGGGCTTACCCTTCTTGTGCTGTTGTTTCAGCCTGTTTCAGCTGCTTTTTCATATACCAGATCCAACCGCTCCAACAATATTAATATCTGCTCTACCCGACCCTATACCCCTTCTGCTTTTCCCCCACTTCCACTTTTCCCATCTCTGCTCGACTCAGTTGGTCCCTGCATCTGCTCCTACACTCCACCAGACTGCCTCATTGGTTACCTTCTGCATAGGTACCATTCAACTGGAACCCCTTACCCCATTTAGTTATATACTTTCTCCTTCAGAACATAGCTTTTACTTCCTGGATCACCAGTAATTCCTATAACTGCTTGATTACTGATCTGTCGTGTACATATTGATTTCTGCTCCAATTTATGTTTTTCCTCTGTAGTAATACTTACAAATTGTATACTCAGCACATAGCCTTATGCTATGGATTACTGATCACTGCCTCTTTACTTAGAAGTATATAAACATATCATGTACTTGGCTGGTAGCCTCAGTCTTAATATTACTTGTCTTCCCTCAGTTTCTACTGGTGGGAATTCTCTGTAGGACTTTGCTCACTCCAGACACAAGTCTCATCTTGTTGTCACCTCCAATCCTCCACTCCAACTTAGAGCCATGCTCTAAGTTATTACTCTTACTTCTCTGTCTGATAAACCAATCCCCTTGTTCCCCTCCACTTCAACACACTTCCCCTGCCTCATCCACCCCACTCCTAGTTGGCCCGCTGCTAGTAGTCTTTACCTCCCAACCCTCAAAGTGGACCAAAGTGGACCACATGTCCTATTGTCAGACAGCATTGGTCCCACTCCAAATTCAGGGTACATACTTGGCTAAGGGTGTAGTGCAAGAGCTGAAGCCAAGCCCCGATCCCTCCACTTCTCTGTCTGAGCACGGTACCTAATATGTTCCAGTAGCATCCCAAGTTTTACTGTAACTTGAAGGACCCAGGATATAGGGACACCCTCTACCAAAGAAGAGTTTTACAGTGTACATATTAGTGGTATGGCATTATTGGCAATGGCCTTGCATGAAAACATATTCAGGCAGTTCAGTACAAGTCTGGAGTGCTTGCAATGCATGACAATAGATATGGAACAGGATGTCATAAGCTTGATGCAGATGATCTGGCTAGACATCTGAGCTATCAATAGGCTGTGGTAATGAAGGCAGATCCATTGTAGCTTAAGTCAGATTAACACAGCACTTTGACCAATATTTATTATGTAAGCATCCAAGTGTTTACTGTTGCTGATTTGATAGGGCTGCTCAATTCTTGGGCTCAGTTTGTGGGCTCAGCCCATTGGAATTCACCTGTCACCAAATGACATCACTTAATGTTCAGCAGGCACCCAGCACCCATCAACACCCACAAATAATGTGCACTCCATTCCATTAATCATTAACAGTCATTCAGTGCAGGGGAAACCATCACTAGTGGCCCAGGTAATATTTCTTTGAATAGTGAGAACGTGAGCTGATATATCTATTCAGCTTATACCCGTAATAGCTGCTTTCTGATGGCTTGGGAATCTGATGAGTATGCACAGGCTCTGCTTGCTGTAAGTATAGCTCATTCATGATGATCAGACTAATTTACACTATTACTAGCTTGCACATTCGCAGCCATCCAACTCACCAACTCCAATTAGTACTCCCAGCATCTCGTGTTCTCCCAACCCCTCATTTGTGCCACCACCACATACCTATAGTGGGCAGCATATGTGGGGAGATCCAGCATATGGCACTATGCAACACCAGCCACTGGCACACTCAACAACCATCAATGGCACTACAGGAACCAGTGCTTGGGGTAGGGATGACCATAATGTAGGCCTGGACTACTATGGTAGCCACAGTAGTTTTTTGGGGTCGGCAATAGCATTTTTGACTAATTTCAATAGCTTGGAATGGAGGGGCTCAAATTGCTCCCCAGCCATTGCCTTCACCGTGTCCCAAGCCTAGCACACCTACGCCTACCAAAGGTAGTGCAAAACATGCACGTGCAGGCACAATTGCTCTGAAATCCTGATCAGTGAAGAAGCCCTATGGATCTACAACCAAAGCCGCGCAGATGAACATGAAGGCAGATGAGAATGTTCCCCCTCTTGATATCAACCTCAAAGATGATGGTGATCCTGCGGACGAGGTGATACAAACTACTCGTTGGTCTGCTGATAAAAAGACCATATTGTTTGAGTGTATACTTGGTCCTGACTCCAATGATATTTTTGATTTGCCCAAAATTGCTCCGAAGGCAGCTTTCAAAAAGGCAAGTCTTATTTTTGTGTGAGATCCATACTTATGATCTGTCTAGCTTTCAGTGGTGAATCTCAAGGGCAAGGATACCTGGAAGTCAATGAAGAGCCAATTCACTCGTTCTATGGCAACATACTCATTGATCGTGGTTTTTGAGGGCTATACTGGCAATGGTGGCAGTGACAGTGATGATCCACCCAATGACAATGGAAACTTCTTCACGAACCTTGGGAAGAAGCAGCCGAGTAAGCACCTTACCATTGACACCAATCTACTTGAGAATCAAATCACGAATGCCAAGGCTGCTGGCCACAATGTTGGGGGACTTTCTGCCAAAGTGATCAATGACTGGTATGCTTGAGGGTGGTTCGAACTTTTCTCTGTCAGGTCAGATCTTTGTCAATGACTTGTTTTTCATTCTATTGACAATGTTTGTAGGTATGGCAAGAGTCCAAAGGTTGATCGTGCAGTTTCATGCCACTCAGCTGCCCCAGTTTCTGATGGCAGTGGTTCAGAGGATGAGTCTGTGGGTCAGTTGACACCATCACAAGGAAAGGCTTCTCATGTGGTGACAGAGCCAAAGTTCAAGCCAGCAGCAAAATTCAAGTCACAGACAGTTGTGTCAATGGCAATAATGAACGAGTTTCTGAAGCAGAAGGGTGAGTTGGATCAACAACATTTTGAAGCTCAGCAAGAACAGTTTGCTTGGGAGGAGAAATGAGCAGAGTGCATGTCAAAGATTGAGGTTGCTCGTGCCGTGCTATCTGCTCCCTCTACTGAAGTTGATCCTGATGTGAAGGCTGCAGCAAATAGATTCCTTTGCCACTTCTTTGATACTTAAATATTCACGCTATCATTTACACTATCCATTCTTTTACACCAAGATATTTACATTGTTTTTAATTTTACTCAAGCTGGAAAAAGCTTGTCTAGCAATAACTCTTGCTTCCTTTTGCCTTGAGACCGCAGCAAGGCTTCCATCTCCCATTGTGGAATATCAGAAAACCGAATCAAAGAACCATCAGCACTCCCAATACAAGCAGGAAAGCCTGAGGTCTCCTTGATGTAGTCTGAAATGATCTCCTTCTGTGGGGCATTCAGAAACACCAAGAACTTGACCTTTAGTTCCCTGAATGCTCTGCTAACCCAACAACAATACTTGAAAACAAAACCATGTCCAATTGCCAACTCTTTTGCCACTCGGAGAGTGTCAGATCCACGCATCCCATAATGAAAAAGAAAACACCCAAGCTGATACTTCACATGTTGCTGTGGTTTGGTTCCAGTTGAAGTAAAAATTGGATTATCTACTAGTTTTGCAACCAGCCTGTCAAAGGTGTCTCGACTGACTCTAATTTAATTCAAAGTTCACGAAAAATCATCAATTCATAAAACTACACTACACACCGAAAATAGTGTTGAAATTCACAATTGGGACTTTGCAAGCAGCATGAAAAGAAGTCCTTGCACTGAGGAATCTGATTGTATGGCCCTCGTGAACCATCACCAGTGATAGATGCTGCAAGATATCGATATTCAAGAGCTGCCATGAGCAATGCATCAGAATCCAACAGATAATCATCATCAAGGTCATCTTTGTTGGTGAGTTCATCGAGATCATCATCATTGTCATCTAGCACAGCCGCGAGCCCCATGAGGAGTTGGGCTTGCACTGCGAGATGTGCTTGGAGTTCAGCCTGTGTTGGTTGTACCATAGTCAGATTCATGCATCATTGTGGCTGCATCAGCACACTCTCGGCAGGATTGTGGACCCTTTAAAAATGTCAATGTTTGACAGGTGAACTCTGATGAGCTGAGCCCATGAACTGAGCCCAAGAATTGAGCAGCCCTGATGTGCAATCCATAGTGAGTAAGATAATATGAACTTCATCTGACCTTTATACAAACCCACCTAATACTATTCAAAGTTCTTGCCCACCATGGATGTAGATCAGAGATGGGCTCCTCACAGGCATAGTGATTTTTGGTTTGGAGATGGAAATATTGTCTTTCATGTAAGTCCTACAATGAATGTCCCTTAAGCCTTACTCAATTTCTGGCTGGTTTCTGGATTACTTCTACCACAGGTTAGCAATGCCTTATTTTGTGTACATTGGGATGTACTTGTTCACCATTCCCCTGCTTTGAAAGCAATTTTGGCTATGCCATCAGGTTATCATACCAATGGTACAGAGCAATTTGTTAGAATGACTGAGAATCAGGCCACAAGTGAGCTAATGAGAGTGAACAGGACTTATAGTCCAGTATCAGTTGCTGTTGTGTGTGTGTAAACTAATGAGTGTACTTGGTACAGAGCAATTTATTAGAATGAGTGAGAGAATCAGGCCACAAGTGAGCTAATAAGAGTGAACAGGACTTATATGATGCTATTGCTTATCATCCACAGGTGTGAAACCTTAAGGACAGCAACAAGCAATTGTTCCTCAGGTGGTGGAGGAACCAAGCTGCTAGAACATACCAATTAAGCCATCATATATTATATAATCTATGTCATGGCCACACATATGTGTGGTAAACCCAGTTGAGAAAATATGTATAGTCCGCCTCAAAGATCTGATGGAGGACAATAGGAAGTTGTGTTAGTTATGGTGGTATGTTCTAACAGCTTGGTTCCTCCACCACCTGAGGAACAATTGCTTGTTGCTATTCTTAAGGTTTCACACCTGTGGATAATAAGCAATAGCATCAAGTTCACCATTGATGGACTGGGAAACATGGTTATATTACATACCCTAGTGGATTGCTCCAGCAATTCATGAGATCATATTGCTGTCACTTATGAACACTACTGATACCAAGGCTGCATAGATGAAGTTCAAAGTATATGAAATTATTGCATGGGCAAAAGAGGTGATAGAGCAAGAACATTGGGCATTGGCTACTTACCCACCCTTACTCCTTATTTCAACATCTTTCAGTTGCTCAACTTGCTTACATAGCCAGTGCAAGGAGGCATGGTCAGGATTCTGGTGGAAGAAGGTAGCTTGCATGATCCTCCACCCAATAAACCCACTCCCACTAACAGACCCTCCAACTTATCATTGAGGCTCCATTACCTGATGACATGAATATTACATGCAGGCAAGCTATGGTTGATGCAATGATGAAATCAGATGGGCTTGAGGTTGAGAAGAGCATCATTAAGGGAGTCATAAGAGCAGTCACTTCGTATTTCAGCTCCCTCTAACATATTTCCAGTAGAAACTGTAATAGTTACTTCATATTTCAGCTCCCTCTAAGACATTGTGAGTGTGATGATAGGCTGTTTCACATAAGCTAGGATTTTGTTTTATTGCAATTTACAAATATAATGAAACTCACCTAAAAAGAAAAAAGTTTCAAACGAGTGTGGCTGAGTAGTACTCTAAGTAGTACCCGACGCGCGTTACACAACAACATTCAACTGAGTATATGCGCGACTATGAGTCAACTCGGGTCCGACGATGATACTCGCGACGACGCTAGAGTCCATGGCAATGGTTTCAATGAAAATGGTATGTTTTTATCGCAGTACTGAACAGTGAACACCAGGGACCTTATGTTGTCATTATAGAACCTTTGGAGAGCGCATATAACAATGGCAAGGATATCGCAGTCTCCGTGACATTTACCCCACTTCTACCACCTCCAGCAACTGGAGAAAAACGCCGCAAGAATGCTAAATCACCACCCATAAACCGTGCCTTCTTCATCCACGAAGATTCAACCCTCCGCGACCTTCTCGATACAACATTCGAACACTATGACGTCTCCGAGAAAATGATGTACGGTATTGGGAATCGATCAGGTCTTCTCTCGGCTACCAACTTCACGATCACGTACACAATCCTTCGCACGAACTATAAGAATATTGTTCTCGCAAACCTCAGTGATTTCGACACAATCATGGAGGAAGTCAAAGAACACCGGTCACCAGCCTTCAAATTGACTATCATCGAGACCAAGGTATGTATTTTGGGTGTTTGTATGTGATTTGCAGTAAGCTAAATACATGGTAGTATGATGATGGCGAAGAAGCTGAAGAAGATGAAGAAGCTGAAGCCGAACCTGCGGGTAAGAGGGTGAGATATATGTGTTTTGATTGTCTTCTTGTCACTCATGTTGCGAAGGCTGCAACAGGACCAACTGACGAGGAGATAGAGCAAAACGAGGCAATTGCAAATCTGACTCGTCAGTATACCTGCGAAGACCGAGCATGTGGTTTCCGTATCTGCTGGCCAGCTCCACCAGACGCCAAACACGTCAACCTGACACCATTACATCTCAACACGTGGGCTGCTGCGATGGTCTGCGTGATGTTCTGAAGTATGTAATCTGCATGTGTCACTAACAGGGTTATTACACAATAGGTTGGTCCGAACAAGCAGCCAGGTGTCGACTTAGACAATCCGCCAAACACGAAGATTTTCGATGTTACATACGCAGACCCGACTGATATTGCTACTCTCTCACGTCGACGTCTCAATACAGTTACCCAAACCCAATCCTCCGCACCAAGTATTGTCATCAACAATGACTTCAAGGATATTGTGGGCCTCCTGCATGGCAAACGTGGACCTGATCATGCTGCCAACATCCCACAGCCTGCTGCTCTTCGTCCGAAGTTGAGTTTGATTGATTTTTGTGAACGCTTCAACCTATCGCTATGGCTACGTGAGAAGTTGGACAACATTGACGTGACAGGCCCACACTGTCTTCGGTTCCTTCAGAATGCTGACTTGCTTGGTGCTGGACTGTCTCTTGGTGAGCTTGCAGATATTCGCGATGCCGAGGAACGGTGGATGCTTGATGCTTAGTTTGTATGGCTCCGAGCTTTCAAAGTGTATTTTTCGGCTGCAGTATTCACAGACACCCATTCATAATATTATGCTACTGTATTGTAACAATGCTATGGTCAAGCAAGATAACCCGAGTGACGAAAGAAGCCCCAAGTCATCTCGGGTGTTATGACAGAACATGCAGTGTACAGCTCATAGTAAGGAGCCTTAGGCCCATAGAACCCTAACCCTTGGCGACGGAGATGTGACTTGATTGCGGAGAATGCTTGCTCAATAGGATTGAGATCCGGGGAATATGGTGGTAAGTATTCAATGCGACACCCTGACAAAATAGTGAGACAACTCCGTATCACAAGCTTTATTATACTGACCATAAGCATGAACAAGCTCTTCGATTTCCTCCGCATGGTGAATACGAGCATTGTCCATAACCAACACACTCCGTGGCCCTGGAAATGGAGTCGTGATAGGAAGCTAATAATAACAGGTTACTGATACATCACAACGACACTGACAGTTTGAAAACGAACCACATCATTTTGCAAAAAATCGATGAAAGTCTTGCGATTGAATGATCCTTCAACAACTTTTGCAGCAATGATGCCCTCATCAAGAGCCAATCCTGCTACCATTGAAAACCGACGTTTCCGAACAAATGGTTGATGCTGCTCAGCACGTGCACCTCGCGGAGCACGTCCCCAGCGACGCGAGTATGTACGGTCATCTTTTGAAACTTCATCCAAACAGAGTAATGAAGCTGGCGAGTATTGCGAGACACGACGAACGAAGTCTGCGTGACATAGAGAGTCACGTTCAGCTGCAATCTTCTCAATGTGCTTGAGATTGATGCCAGCACGCTCAAAAGATCGGTGAATGGTGGATAGTGATGTCTGTAGAAACCGGCCATCCTGAAGTCTCAGCTGGTATTCATCGAGGAATAGGGTGGGGTTATGGCGAGCAAGCCGAATGAGGAACTGGATATCATGCTGGGTGAAAGTACGAGGCCTGCCCCTGCCAATTGCCTGAATTTTGGCTACACTGCCAGTGGCTCGTTTACGACGTTGTGTGCGGTAGATGGTTGACTTTGAGATCTGTGTGATGGAGAGGATTTCTTTGGTTGCATATCCTTTGTTCGCCATTCGCAATGCAGCATCTTTGAGGTCGTTGCTGATCCGTCTATTGCCCATCGTGGAGAAGAGTAATGTGTGACTCACGAGATGCTGGCTGAGGCTGTACGCTGCTGTATGCCACACGCAACAGGTGACCAATTCCGAAAATATATATTTTTACACATTCGAAGAGTGTCATTGTTTATGAAAATCGCAATAAATAATTAAAGTAAGTATAAAACTAAAGAAAATAAGTAATAAATGATTAGGATTATCTCTAGAGTGAATAATATGTCAATCCCTTTGTCCCCTTCCACTCCAACTCACTTCCCCCACCTCATCCACCCCGCTCCTAGTCAGCCTACTACTAGAAGCCTGTACCTTCCGACCCTCAAAGTGGACCAAAGCAGACCAACTATCCTATTGTTGGACAATGTCAGTCCTACTTCCCCTGCTCCATCCACCCCACTCCAAATTGGCCCACTGCTAGTAGCCTTTACCTCCCGACCCTCAAAGCAGACCAAAGTGGTCCACCCATCCTATCGTCGGATAATATCAGTCCTGCTCCAAATTTGGGGCCCATACTTAGCTAAGGGCACAGTGCAAGAGCTGAAGCCAAGCCCTGACCCCTCCGCTCTCCATCTGAGCACGGTACCTAACACCTGCTATGCTATGTTACTTACCTTAGAGTATATAAACATAGGTACTTTGTCTATAGATACCTCAATCTGAATATTACCTTTTCTCAGCCTTGCTCTTCTGTTTCTGGACTTGGGCATTATTCTTGTCAACTCCTGTTTGCCAGCCTAGGGGATTGACTCCCTAGGTCAGCTACCTTCTCCACTGCTCTGACTTCCCACATCTTGGCTGCCTTTCCTGCCCTTTGGACTTGAGCCTAGCTCTCTCGTACATTTGTCCTCTTGTTTCTGTTCTGCTTCAGACTTTGTCCAAGCAGTCTTATCTGCTCCACTTCTACTGTTGGTTCTGACCACAGTATCCCTCTGCTTCTCCCCTGTTGGGTGGTCCAACCCCCGCCTGACTTTTCCATGCTCATCTGGTAGTCCAAAGGGCCTCCTTCAGAGAGCCTCCACTCTTATGTCCTGTTGGAGCTCATAGAACTTGTGTTGGACTACAATCAGAAATTAGGGGCATGTACTTGGGTAAGGGGTGCAGTGCATGTGCTGATGCCAAGCCCCTCAGACTCTGCCTTGCCCCTGAGCACAGTCTTAATAAGAATATGCTGCGATGATAGTAGCCTTAAGTGAGGCCAAAGTCACCAAGTATCTTGCTGCTATACACAAATGGAGGAAACATCACACACACATCCTTCAGGATCTTCAAGAACTTTACAGGAAATTACTTCATGCATGTGCTGCAGCACCTTGAGGAAGAGCTTACCTCACCAGCCTTGAGGACATGTTAGTGGTTGGCAGGTCTAACCCTTTTCTACCTCAAAGAGCTGGAAAAATGGTAACTGAAGATCTAGATTGGTGGTCAGAGCTACTTTAGTTGGGTGGTATGGCTTGAGCCATCTTCACCACCCCCAATCATCTTTATAGGCTTTGAGAACAAGTAAGCATAACAGAAGAATAAGGCCAAGAATACAACACATACACGACAAAACTCAATACTGTAAAAATTAAATACAAGGAGCGCAATAATGTGATAAACTGTGAAGAAAAGACAACAAATACAAGGAATGTAACAGTGCAACAAAACCATAAAGCAAAAAGAACAACTAACTAAAAGAATCCAATTCCAGCATTCACTACAAAAGGGTGTTCTACATATTGGCCTTTCTCTCTCTGTCATATACCTGATTCAGCCACTCCCAACACCATTCAGAGATGTCCCTACCATTGGTCCAACCCCCTGTTTCCCTGTCCGCGCCATCCCTCGTTCTCTGACAATGCAAGAAGTGCATCTCAGCAGGACTAGCCCTGCTACCTCCGCCCGACTCCGCTCTGCTCCTCCAACACTACCCTATATCCTCTGACACTATATCCCTACCATCCGACCCTACCTGTAGCTCTGCTCCTCCACCCTATTGGTCCGCCCGATCCTACTCCTACTCCCTCCACCATCTCCACTTATCTGACCCACTTGGGTCCTTCAGTTTCTCTTGTGTTGCTCCGACTGCCTCACTGGTCCACTCCTA